TGTCCAAACGGAGTAATGCTTCATTCCTGGCATTCACACGTCGCCGTCACTCAGCGGCAAGCGGATACAGTTAGCAGCCATTACGGCTGCCCCGCTCGGGGTCCTCCGCTACATATGAGTGTGTGTGTGCTTGCATTTCTTTAAGTATGCATGCGTGTGTGTGTGTGTGTGTATGTAATTATTGTAGGTCCAACGTCATCGTTGTCGTTATCGTAGTGTTTATGTCGACAACGCCGCCAACTTGTTTGCATACAAATTAAACTCGTCATTTATGTGCGCTCTCTTTAGCATTCTCTCTTTACTGCTTTCTCCACTCTATCTGTCTCTATCTCTTCCTGTCCCTCTCTCTCTCTCTCTGTCTCGCTCTTTCTCTCTTTCTCTCTCTATGCATCCCTATTTATTCGTATCTCCCTTTTTTACTCCCTTAGCAGACCCACTCAATAGCGCGCTTCGTTGCACACTGTAGATTAATTTATCATCTCGCTTTACAAGCATTCTATGAGTGTAATGAACTTTTAACAAGCAACTGCCACACCCACAGCACCCCTCACGCCCACGACCAGCATATACAACCCGTCGACGCGTTAGTTTTTGCGCATCCAATTAGTTTTTGCAATTTTTTGCAATGCTTTTATTAGCGCAAAGCAAATATTGTTCCGCTGGTCCACTACACATCCATCAAGCGTACAAATACACATCGTATTACACGTATTATGCACAATAAGAAATGAATACTATCTGTGTATTTAGGCGAAAATTTAATACTCTTTTAGACATTGCAGTAACAATATAGTCAAAACTTAATAATAAATATTAAAAAATGATCGAAGAGTATTTACATTTTAATTTGTATCATTCTAATTAATGTCGGGCATATATTCTACGATGTTTATATTTCTCATCTATTTGTATGATTGCCTATTATAAATATACATATACATATATTATTATTATTATGTACATGTCTTTTATTATGCAAAGAGAATTATGCGTTGTTGCTGCCGCCTCAATAAAGTTGAAAAACATAATTAAAGTTTTGCATGGAGTTTTGCATCCCGGGGGACCAACGCCTGGTACCAGGACTGAAGGTTGACTAATGCACGCAGCTTTCACGCGCCGAAAGGTAATTAAAATGCTAATAAACACTCGTTAAGTACATAATAACCCAGCAAGAGTAACAACAACAGAAGCAACAACACAATACTCCAGAAATAGAGGGCCCAACTAATGCGACTTATCTGCAAATTTACACCAGGCACGAGTCCTCGACACGTACCACAATTTGGTCTCGGCCAAATTCACCAAATTTATGTCTCAAATATTTGCACATACATACACACACACACATATACAGACTGTCACGCAGTTTCCACTGGCATAAAGGTTGTTTTTGCCACACTACTCGAACACTACTCGTACTATGTATATACCTGGGGTTCGCTTTGCTTATTATGCGTCCGACGTTGCCTCTAAAATATGAATTACAAGTGAGATTTAAATAAATTAACTCTGGCATCCACAGACCCACACACATTTCCATACCCAAAGAGAACGCAATACAACACTCAATACACACTCGGAGAGAGCCGAAAACTTGTCAAACAAATTGCACACCGTCGAACCCCTCAGTAGTTTGTCGCAGGCCTCAGATTATTGTCACTTAGATCACATAAAGACAAATAAGCAATGAGGATACAAACAACAACTATATTTAACCAAAGGGTGCGATGTTTGGTGTTCCACCTGACTTTCAGTCTTATTGTTATTCTTTACAGTTGACAGTATCAATGGCCTATTGACAGGCTTTTATATTCCATTTTGCATGCCTTCAGTTGGTAACTAATTGGATACCGTTCTTTAAAGATTTTGCTTTTAGCAGCCGACAAAATTCAAAGGTTTAGTTAAAAGAAAACATTTTGCTTAAAAGCCCGTTTAGTTTTCACAATCAATTATGCCGAGGAAGTATAAGAAAAAAACTAAAAATCGTTCGCAGGCACATTATTTTAACCAGTTTGCTTTCTCTGTTTATGTTAATTAGTTTAAATTTGTATGTGTGTGCGCATAAACCGCATCACCCTATACACAAACCAGCCACACCCTTTATTTCGACTGCTTTATCCCAAACACTAAGCTCAAATTTTAATTAAATTTTTTCAAGTGTTTTTGTGCTTATGAAGCTGCCCAGGCGCTTGCTACGGTTCTGTGACCCTGTGGTCCATAAATTGCCAGCATTTTCTCATGGTGTTGTTGTTGATGTTCTTGTGGCTGTTGTTGTTTTTGTGAATGTGGTCGTTACTGTTGCGGTCCCAAGGAGGCAACACCGAGCTGTGCCTTTTAATATGTCAAACATGTTGGCCTTGCCCGGTTATTAGATAACAAGACTCAAGCACATTATAAATTATGACGTAAAAATGTAATAAACCCCAGGAACGACCCCCAGATAGACAGTGTCAAATATTGAGTTGTGCATGATGTGTGTGAGTGTGTGTGTCCTTGTGTACCATGGCCAAAAGCGGTTAGTCAAATGTTGAAGCTTGGCAAATGCTTACATTATTCAAAACTATTGTTGCGCATTAAATATGTAAGAGCATTTTGGGTGAATAGGAGAATGTCAAGTCAAAGTTTGCAACTTTGTTATACCTGCTGTAGTTGTTGTTATGGCTCTTTTCGTTGTTGTTGTTGTGGAAAATGAGCAAGAAAATGCGCCCGTTAAGAAATTTGCATAAAAAGAATGCAGTGGAAGCCCGAAGACTGAAAGAATAGCGCGAGAGTGTTGGCACATAAACAAGCTGACGATGAGCGAAGCGTCACAAATGCCAACAGGTTAACATACTACGCGCTCCCCCTCCTTCTCTATACGCCCACCCCACATTTACGTCTATGTGTTGGCTGATGGGTGTTTGGCTTGCTCTGGCATTATGACAATACAACAAAGCCAAACTCGCTACCGACGTTCGCCTCGGCTACAGTGGCAACAGAAACGAATTTGCATAAATAACAAAAACATATTTAAGCCCACCATCCCCGCTCGCACCTCGGGCTGACTTTTGAGCGTAATAATGCCAAAGGGGCAGGTTCACAGTTCGGGCTAGGTCAGGTCATGCAGCCACAAGCTTGCTAACTTCATTGGCAGCACTCGGGGCTGTTACCTACAGTATTCCAACCATCCCCCCTTTTACTTCTCCTTCTTGTTATCCTGACCAATTCTTTTTCTTGGTGGTCGTTGGATGCCTTGTGCATAATTTAGAGGCACGCATTGAGTCGAGGAAGTTGCGTTGTCTCCTTGCGGACATCTTGTCTGCCTTGGTTAGTTGATTTCTCTTCGCCCATAAAATCAGAAAACCCTCGCTCGTTTTTCTTCTTTGCTCTTTGTTTTTTTTTTTTTCTTTCATTTTTTCTTGTTTTATTTTCTATTTGGCTGCTGTCTCTGGAAAGTATACATGCAAAAATTATTTGTAAAGTGTGGCGCCAAATATTTGAAATAAATGCAAAACGGCAAATAAACGACAGGCAGCTGCCGGATATACAAAAAGCGTTAAGGAATTTGTTGCCCCCAAAGTTTTCATAGTTAGAATATGTATACTATGCATTTAAAATGGATTAGACTGACGGCTTGTTGGATTGTGAACATTGCAATATTTAGCTATAAGAAAAACTGTTTAACTAAGTGTGGTAAAGTTGCGAATTTAAATTAAGCAGGTAAGAGAAAGTTAAACAGCTAAACTATGATGGGTATTAAAATACACTCATAGTATAAATCACTGAAATTAAATGATATATTTAGCAATTTCAGACAAGCTGCCTCAAATCAAAACTTCGGTGTTTGGTATGTTTTTCATCACCAATTTCTCTACTCTAGCCTATGCTTGTTAAAGCTAAACGCCAACGGGTTTAAATCAATATGCCCCACAGACCGCAGTGCACAACTCCAAACTGCTCGTAGCCAAAGCCAGCGATAATGTTGCTGCGGTGCGCATAACAACAACAACGGCAATAGGAACTGACAACTGCTACAAAAACCGCAACAATGGCAGGGGCCAGATGGGGGGGACAGACAGATGGGACAGCCGGGACAGTCGAGAACAGTCGGGACTGTTGGGACATGGCTGGGATGGCCAGGATGCGTTGCAAACAAGAGCGACGGAGTGGCAAGGGAAGTGCAGCGAGTGATAGAGGAAGCAATAATTTAATTCTGCAATGCAAATGCAAACAAATTTTGTTGAGCCGCAGAGAAAAACTTAAACCGCAGCGCGCGACATAAACGCCGAGGAAGTCGAAACCAAAACGCGTAGCCGGAGGCACTGAAGAGCAACAGAAGCAGGATGCCATGATGCAAGCAGCTGTGGCTAAAGCGAGCGAGTGTTTATTTTATAGCCGCCATAGAGTTAGCATTATCCTTTTCCCCCCAAGCCAAGCCACCAAACGATTTGCTGCTGTTGCATTGCACACTGCTTCACCTTCCAATCTTGCTATCCTGTCATCCTGCCATCCTCCCTTACCCCGGTTGCTCTGTTATTATTGAAGAATTATTATGCGGAGAGACAACAGAAGTTGCCAATGCAGCCAACGTCGTCGTACTCCCAAACGACTAATAGCGCATAAGCCCCCTTCCTATCCCCCGCCCCACCGCAAAACATCCTTGTCGTTGCGTTTGCGTTTGTGTTTATATATATATTTTTTTTAGATTTATATATTTGTGCATAAAAACTGAGTGTACAAGTTTTGCATATTCATGGCGCTTTAAATGTCGTCACCAGCGACGATGTCTGAAGTGCAAGAGCCACAGCAGCTGCCACAAAGGCAACTAGCAATAATAGCAAAAGCAACAGCAAAACAGACATGCGATATACTCTGTATTATGGCCAACTAGACGTATACATGCTTAATTGTATACAAGCTGAATAGTCGTATCAAAAATATTTGTAATTTGCGAAATACTTCATTTTATTTATGCCTGTCATTCTACAGCTATTGTTGCTTTGTGTAAGTATCAAATTTATTTTACTAAAATGACAACTGGCTCGTCTGTGCTGGGCATTAGATACAATGCCGGAGTCTTAATCGCTGCAGATACACTCATCACCTATGGCTCCATGGCGCGTTATCAAAACGTTGATCGCATTTTCAAGATCAACAATCGAATTCTGCTTGGTGGCAGCGGAGATTTCGCTGATGTGCAGTGCATAATGCGTAGCATCGATCAGAAGATCATCGAGGATCAATACCAAAACTGCTCTACAAAACCGAACTCATTGGCCACCTGGATGACACGCGTTCTCTACAATCGTCGCCTGTGCGAGAATCCGCTCAACATTGATGTCATTATCGCTGGCATCGATGAATGCGGCCTGCCCTATTTGGCTAATGTGGATATGCGTGGAGGCATTTACGAAGATTATGTGCTAGCCACCTGTTTCGCAAATCAATATTGTGTGCCGCTCGTCTGCGAAAGTAAGCCAAGAGATCGCGATTTCACATTCGCAGAAGCAATTGACTTGATTCGCAGTTGCATGCAGGCACTTTACTACCGCGATACGCACAGCATTCCATTGTACACGGTGGGCGATTGCAATGCCGACGGTTGCCGCATAAATGGTCCATTTAAAGTCGAAGAGAACTGGAGCTTTGCTCCATTAATTATGGGCTACTAGCCTTAGAATATATATTTATTAATATAGAGTATTGCATTTAAAGCTTCAGTACATGTCAATTTCTCTATTTTTTCTAACTTTCATTTTAACAAGATGTGTCGAGAAAGAAGTGTATTTCAGCTGCAACTATTGGAAAGTTGCAAAACTTATGCCTTTTTTGCAGCATATGCACCAGCTGTTAACGAGAGAGGGAAAGAGTGAGTATGATGGAATGAGTGGCAAATGAAAAGAGATAGCGCGTGGGAAAAAGTAATAACATCAACCATAAAAGTAGCAACATAAGTTGGCAGCTGGAAGCAAACCAAAATACTGACAGACAGACATATAGACGACATACTGTCTGCAAAACTTTATTTGCAACAGCAACAGAAGCAACAAAAACATCATTCAAGGAACAACAACAAGGAAAAAGTGTTGCAGGCGAGTATCTCGCGACTAAAAGCCGCCCAATGAACTGCATGTGAAAACAATGAGATTATTGGTTGAATTTATGTGCGCTATATGAACTCAGCTATCTCCTGTTACACATCTCTCTCCCCCCACCCCCCGCTCGCACCCCTCCGCACACCCCTCATCAACCCAGAGCACACAATTTGCCTTGTAATTGTCGACATGTCAGCACATTAAACGGCTATAAAATGTTGGAAAACTTGCAAATCAAAGCAACTTGTCCCACGTCGGGTAACTTTTCTAATTTATGGCCATGGAATGCAACAGTTAAGCGCCAGCGGCCTTTTTGAACTCTCGACCCCGGCCACATTTACATGCACACCCAGCATTACCCACCCACCAAACACATAGAAGCCCGAGCCGTAGTCGCTGGTTGGTTGGTCGACAACTACCTGTGCGAAGTTGCGCTAAAATTTATCATGACACTAATGAGCATGAAATAGGACAAGGTTTATTAAATTTCCTTTTTAAAATGCGCACATGGCAAGTTGCCCACGAAGTTGCAATGCAGTTGCGAGCAGGCAACAAGTTTTATTTTTGTTGTTCTTCATCATTCTTCATCCTCGACAAAGGGGTGAACGTTTGGCGACATGAACGTGGCGCCACTGCGACTTTCACACTCTTTTGCCACCTATCAGCTGCCTAACTTTTAGTCCCTTGCCCATGGCACCCTTCCTGTTCCGTCCCATCCCGTCCCTTACTGCGACACATAGACAGACGTCCAAGCAGCTGCTGCCCGGGTAACAAAATGAAAAATGTCCGCAAGTGCGAAAATGAATCTGCCCCATGTTGCAATTTATTATGCTAACATAATAAATATTATATAGAGTTGGTGTGTCACAGTTGCCCAGACTCGGCGATTCGCTGGGGAGATCTCTCCACTTTTGGGTCACTTTTGGGTGGTTCAATTTTCGAGAAGCGTCGCTTTGTGACAGTTTGAGAAATGTTTAAAGCTTTGCCTGCCATCGTCCATCGCCCCCATTGCCTAATTGCTGCAACACATAATTGAGTGTTTTGCCACAGAATAAAATACGCAACCAAAAAAAAAAAAACTGTTGTGATCCAGATATGACCAATATCAGCCACATCTCTTCTTTTCGGGGTTCATTTTATATTAGTTTGATGATGCGAAATGAAAGGTAATAGAGCAACTTTGTGGCACACACGTTAACTTCTAAATAAATCAGAGTTGTCACTCGAAAAACCTCAATGCCTGAGCAAAATCCAAATTAAACTAATCTCCCAGAAGGAACTTCACACAAAAATAACCACGAATTCAATTTTATCATTTTCCAAATTATTCACATGCTTCTTCTCTAGTTCACTTCAAGTTTTACACATCTATCTATCCGTTCACACTACTCTAAATAATTTTAGATTTCGGGTCTTTTCATTTTGTATATGTAACTTTTTTGTGGATGGTGTTTTGTTTATTTTGTGGGTGATGTTGGCCGAGTAGATGACGATTTTGGGTACGCACCCATAAATAAATCATTCAAATTGTCAACACAAATTTATTTGCGTTGCGTTTGCGTTTCATGTAAGTTTCTTGCGGTTCCCCAAGCGGAAATGAACAACATGGTGAGTGAATGTGTGATCAAGGTATATATATGTATTGTGGAAAGGGCCTTGGCAGAGGCTATTGTACTGAGGGGAGTGAAGAGGCAAGACAGACTGCGTCGTCAACAGCGTTGAGTTTTTCTCAGGCATGTCAAGTTGCTTACAGTGCAGAGTGTCTAACACTCTATTTGTGTGTGTGTAGCTGGGTCAATTTACTCCTGAAATAACCTCACTTCAGATAAACCCACATATATCTGCGTATGTAAAAAAATTGTTTAGATTTCAAAGTTTCTGATTTTGTAGAGTATCTGTGCGTCGATATGGACTACATAATTTTTCTCGCCTGTTGTTATTTAAGCAAATTTATTTGTATGCTGCCTGACGCTGCTTTTGCTGCTGCTGCTGTTGATGCTGATGCTGATGCTGTTTGCTTTTCATTTCCGGCCACGTCGACAAATCACAAACAACCTAAAAGGATATTATCTGCAGCAAAACTGTTTCCTTACCCACACTATCGTCGCTGTGATGTTCCCATCTTTCCATCTGGCCAGCTCTCTCATGTTTATTTGGATAAATAATTTGCGAAACATTTTTCGTTTTTCATTGTGTGTTTTCTTAATGGGCTTTTAAGTGGTCACCATTTTACTTGAGTTACAAGGCCTGCCAGCCAGGCTCCTAATCTTGACCAGGCCATCAACGCCTAACTGTCCGTGTCACGCAAAAGAATTAGAATTAGAATTAGAGACCACTTGGACAGTCTCAATTGTTGTCGAGCTGGTCTCACGTGTGCAAATAGAAAAGCAAATCCAAAAATTGAATTTGGAGTTTTCTATGGTAAAGCGACTCGACACCAGCTACACAATTGCCCAATGCTAATTGCCAGGCCAAATATTGGGGAGTCTGAAATTTCCACTTGTCATCATTGATGTCTCACTTAGAGCGCTGCTGGTAAAGCCTACCATTTATATATATACTTATGCATATAGGCGCACAGTTAGTTTTCAAACGTGCTGGAGATATGTGTGGGACAAGAGGAATAATCATTGGCTTTACATTGCTGGCCTTGGGCTCCAGTTACTGCGTCTGCGACGCGCACAATTTAACCGCTTTTCTGTCGCATCGCCAGCGGCGTGGACTCATTTATCAGAACAGCGGATCTATGAAGTTCAGCATTGGACCATCGTTGCCCATCCCTTTGGGCGATCATGTAACCTTTCGCTCTGCGGTGCTCTCCTTCAACTTGCAGGGTGGCACCTACAGCTTGCCAACAACGCCCATTTGGCCCTGGGACAAGTGGGAGACCACATTTGCCAGATCTCTGCAGCAAATGAGGCGCCACATTGAGAGGCAGACGGCAAGCGGAGATGTTCGATATGCGGACGATGCACGACTCCTGGTATACACGGCGCTCGAGGAGTATATGGGCAGACGGAACAATAATATGATTGTGGGCAGACAATGCCTGCTGCGCTCCATATGCGAAAATGCCCAGGTGCATCAGCATGTTGGCGTCTTCTCCGAAATATTCAACATTGTGTTGAGGTAAGCAAACAACATTTTAACTATCCAACCAACCATGTGGAGCATTCTGCATCTCAGCATTCTTGAACTCTTTGTAGTCCGGGAAAAGCGGATTTAGATAACTCGTATCACGATGCCTTTGCTGCTGGCCAAGCTGGTGCTAATTGCCTGGCCATCTACAGGGTCTGTCCACGTGGCCTCAACTTCCTGGACGGGCTGTTGATTTTGGAGCGCAACTGAAATTTGATTGATTGTATTTACGTTATGGATCGATGCATTGGCCACAACAATAAAGTTTTCGCCAAATCAAAGTGCATGTCTAATGCCTGTTGTTGTTGTTGTGGTTTCTGTTGTGGTTGCTGCGGCTGTTGCATAACTTACGAGTCTGTCAAAGGAGTACGCAGTGAGCAAAGATATATATACACATTTACATCTACAATGAACGTGGCAGGAAGCGTCTTTAAGGACGGCTGCACACAATCCAACAACTAAACAACCATTTACGGCTTACACGCAACTAGTTATCAGGAAAGGCAATACACGAATTGTGCTTGATTTATTTATTTTGCTTGCCTTTCGATTGCATTGTTCTTAAAAATAGCGGTGAATCTAACAATAACATTGGAATATTTTTGTATTAATGCCTTTATCTGCTTAAGACTTGTATTTTCTATGAACATTGCCCGCATGAGCGTGGCAGCCACTGGATTGCTACTTGCTCCACTGCGCCAACAAGAGAAACTCAAATACCGCAAAGTTGCTCAACGGCACCGCCCCCACCCACTCCCCCAACAGTCTCTCACTTTGCATGCATACCTCCCCATACCCTACCCATTCAGCGCAGCGTTGTCATAATCGCATTTGAATTAGCTGTGCATACAAAACGACGAGCGATAGCAAAATAGGGTGTCTGATGCACAATCCAGTGCCAGTGCTGTGTGCAGTGTTAAAATATGCACGATGCCGCTGCTGCTGCTGCTGCTACTGCTGCTGCCGCTGCTGTTTTAGAAAGAGCACCCGGTGCAGCGAGTGGCAGCCGTGTGTAGCCACCTGGCAAGCCTAATGTGCCACTTAAGACGCATTTATTGTCTTTCTGTTGTCGTTGCTGTTTTCGCCATCGTCGTCGTTGTTGTTGTCCTTGTTGTTGCTGCTGATGGTGCAGCTGCATTTCCATTTAATTGACGCCATTGTTGACAAAATGGCGGTCGCTTGCTCGCTCTGGAAGCCAAAGCCACAAGCCATTAATGTAACGGTGATTTTTTGGGGAAGGCGGCAACACTTAAAGACAACCAAACGCTGCTCAGTTCGTAATAACGTTAAAACTTTGAAAACTCCGTGTAGAGTTTTAAAGCGCTTTTGCTACACTATTTGCTAAATTCTATTTACGGTAATAAAATATTTATTTTCATTAAACCAATTTAATTGTGGCGTTGCATTTTAGTAGTTTACATCCACAGCCAGAGCATCGAGGACACTCTCGCCCCGAGGACAGCCATAAAACTGCTGCAAGCAATCCACGCCAGCCAAGCCCGCAGCGTGAGCTTCCCTATAAATCTGATCGAGTCTCGCTTTTCCCGGTCTGAAATAGATCAAGATGCGAATAGATACATGCTGGATGCAAAGTAAACTTTGCCACTTACGTGAGGAGCACGTTGAGCAGCTCGGACATGATGCCCACATGACGATGCACTTGCGCATTCTCGCACATGGCACGCAGCAAACAGTGGCGACCTCGTCCCGGAACGCCGCTCTCATTGTCCATGTACAGCTCCAGTCCGGTGTAGGCAAACAGGCGTGTGTCATCCTCATGCGATGCGTCCAGCTGTCGTATCTTTTCGTTCAGTGATCTGGCGAATATGGACTCCCATTTATCCCAGGGATAGAGTGGTGTGGCTGGCATTGAATATGCCCCAAAGTGTAGCACATAGAAGTTTACCAGGCTGCGCCACACAACCGGATCCATCAGCTGAACAGTCATCACACAGCCAATTACCAAGCGAATAGTTGCTCCATTCTGGTAGACCAACTGATAGCGCTTCTGACGGGTGTGTAAATAAGCCGTAAGATTCTTTGTTGGCTCCAACACCTCATAGGAGGCGTGCAACATGTGAACCAGGCCAGCAAGCAGCAGCAAGTGGGTTTTAGTATACATTACAATTTCTTAAGGAACGCGTCCAAAAGGTGCAAAGAACTCTCAAAGAATGATCATATTTTGAAATTCGGTTCGTGCAGAAGCGAACTAAATATTTGCGCAGCTAATTAGCAGTAAAATTGGGTTATAAAGTCATCAAATGGAGATGAGCAATTATTATTGGACCAGTTAACAAATTACAAATTAATTGTTTACACAACTTATTTCTTGTTTTCCTTGCTATTATCACAAAATTGTATTGTCTGCTCAGTGCTATTGTCCGAAATACCAAATTCAAGAAACGCGCTCAATAATAGAGCTGCCAACTCATTTAAATAAAACTTCCGCCTAACAGCACTGCAGGAAGTGGCAGCACTGGTCAATAAAATACCAACCAGCAAGTTCAGTGTGACCTCAATTTGCAAGTGCGGCTAAAAATAAATAAAAACGACAATTATTGGAGATTCGGTCACACCTTATCGAACTAGCATTAAACTTGACCAGACATCTGTTTAAAAATTAACTAGAAAAATGAGCAACGAATCGCCCAAAGCCCAAATCTCGCAAGAAAAGATTGTTGCCCAGTTTCAACAGCTACGCAACGAACAAAGAAACTTGGCCAACAGTCTCAACACTCTTCAAATGGATCTGCGCGAACACAAGTGAGTCAGAATGGGCCGCTAACCATAACCTCCAAAATATAAACAACTAAACTGAAATTGTCGCAATTTATTATTTGTCATTTAGAACTGTGATAGAAACCCTCAATTCGGCGGATCCGGAACGCAAATGCTTTCGCCTGATTGGTGGCGTTCTGTGCGAACGAACCGTAAAAGAGGTGTTGCCACAGCTGGTGGAAAATAAGGATTTCATTGCGAAAACCATCACAATGGTCACCGAGGATCTGAGCAAAAAGGGTGTCGAAATCAACAGCTTCAAGGAGGAGCACAACATCAAAATACGAGGCGAACAAATTGGCACCGAGGCCACAAAGCCCACGGAGGCGGAGAGTGGCAGCAAATCGGAAAATCGCAATGTGCTGGTGTCCAACTAATGTCCCCCAAAATAGTAAAGAATGCCAAACAGCAGCAGCAGCATCATTGATGATGGATTCATTGTGTTTTGCGGCACTACAATAATGATTATGCATTGATTATGATTCTAATGTTATATGTAATTTTAGCAATAAGGCGCATAACTCCCCTTTAAAATTCACCCAAACACACACACACACATAACACGCCCCACAATTAAAAACAGAATGAGAGCTAAATTTGATATATGCCGATTTTATTGACGCCGTTGAAAGTCTCGCTTGCCACCCGACTTGCTCAGCAGGCGCACGTTTGTGATGCAGATGTCATGGGACACAGCTTTGCACATGTCGTAAACGGTGAGTGCAGCCACAGAGACGGCAGTTAGCGCCTCCATTTCGACGCCTGTCTGACCATTGCAACGCACCGTGGCCACCAGAAGCACACAATGCTCCGACTCCAGCAGAGTGGCCTGCACACGCACCGAGGACAATGCAATGTTGTGGCACAATGGTATCAATTGCGATGTTTGTTTAGCGCCCATAATGCCCGCCAATTGGGCAATGCTTAGCACATCGCCTTTGGCCAGCTCATTGGCGGCTATAAGCTTGGTGAGCTGTTCACCCACCCGAACGGTGGCCTCTGCGCTGGCTAACCTCGTGGTATTGGCCTTGTTGGCGACATCGACCATTTGTGCCTTGCCCTGGGCATTGATGTGCGTCAAAGTGCTGCAGTTGCGCAGCTGTTGTTGATGAGGATGATTCATGATCTGCCTGCTGCTCCTGCTGTTGCTGCTCCTGCTGCTACTGCTGTTGCTCTTTCTGCTGCTCCTGCTCCTACTGATGATGATGATGTTGCCTGCAAGCAAACAGGCAAACAGTTGGGGGGGTGGGAATGTTGTGCTCTTGGTGTGGATTAGCCGCCTATGAGTATCATTGGGCGATTTTCCATTTGCGACAGATTCAGCATGCCTGCGTAGGACAAATGCGCCCATTAATACCGACAACTCGCAAGGAGGAAGGAATAATATTCAAACTAGCATTGTTAATCACCTGCATGTTGACGCTTCTTGCGCTGCACGGCGGCACCAATCAGCTCGACCAGCTGCTGCTCTGTGCTGCCCTCGCTGCGCATGGCATCGCGCAACGAGAACTCCTTGTTGCCAAATAGGCACACTTTAATATTACCATCAGCAGTGAGGCGCAAACGATTGCAGGTGCCACAAAAGTGTTCCGTCATCGAGGTAATGAAGCCCAGTTGGCCGGCAAATCCTGGCACTGCATACGCCTTAGAGGTGTCATTGGGGCCATTTGCCAATGCCTGAAACTCAGGCCAACGCTGGCGAATGATCTGAACAGTTTCCTTAAAGGAGATCAAACGCTCCGTCTGCCACTTGTTGCCCGAGAAGGGCATGTATTCGATGAATCGCACATCCACTGGTCGCTCGCGAGTGAACTCCACAAAATCGCAGATCTCATCCTCATTAAAGTTGCGCATCAGCACACAGTTGACCTATGCGGAGAGATTACATTATTATGAACGAAAAGTTAAAGGCATATATAATGCGTACTTTTGGCCGATAACCCAATTGGATGGCGAGGTCGATGCCCGCTATGACCCGCTCCCAGCCTTTACGTCGCGTTATCTGCTCGAAGCGTTCCTTTCGCAACGTATCCAAGCTGATATTCAGCGAATCCAAGCCAGCGCGCTGCAGCGGCAACAGCAGTCGTGTCAGCACCAGGCCATTGGTTGTAATGCCGACATTCTCCAGCTGCGGCAACGCCTTAAGGTGTGCCACAATATCGACAATGTCGCGGCGCACCGTCGGCTCACCGCCAGTCAGGCGAATCTTGCGCACACCCTGCTCCACGAAGATGCGTGCGAGGCGCAACACTTCCTCGGTGGTAAGCAGCTGTGATTTGGGCTGCAGGGGCACACCTTCCGCCGGCATGCAATATTCACCTGCAAAGCAATTTCATCATCACAAATTAAGCTGCTTATCAACAACGTGGTTTTTTAGTATTTACAGATAACATTCAATCGATTTTTGTGTAAATGGAAAAGGCAAAAACTTACAACGCAAATTGCAGCGTTCGGTGAGTGAAATTCTCAGATATGTATGATGTCTGCCAAAGGTATCAGTTAGAGGTGAAGCTCTTGGCAATTGTCGCTAAATCAACATGATAACGAGAATAATCATCAATATAATTTAAATTAATTATCATTCATTACATTTACCTGTGCTGGGCGAGTCGCTGCCATTATTCTATTGTCATTCTCAATGTCGGGCTGGGCACTTGTTGCTGCCGCCGCTTTTGTTGCTGTAGCCAATTTGTGAAATTGCGAACCGGTTGCCATTCCAGCAATTGGCGTCGTCATCGACATCGTCGGGCGAAACTGCCCTGTGTATTGGGTCAGCAACAGATTTGTGCGTTTCACCAACAATCGCATTTTAACAAATGTTTTCAACTAATCAAATTGCGGGCTGATTACCTAACCAACAATTCGCTGAGTGGGGGGTCTGTAAGTTGAATTCCTGCTGTGCCATCAAAACAAACAATTTCCACAGCTTGAGTTTTAATAATCAGTAATTTTAACTCGAGACAAGTGCTTACCTCACGTTACCTCTTAACGCTGATATCGAGCGCTCCGCCAACTCCGACCTGCAACCGGCAAGAGTTGTTTACAAACTGAACGACAAGATCATATGTTGCTTATAATCTAGAGCTTTACCCAAAAGCTCTGCACACACACACTTGCACTGATAAGCTTGAATGTGGGACAAACCAGGAAATGGACAAAAGCAAACGCACTATGAGATACTCTGTAAGTGGGAATAAAATATCAAACACATATTTTAATTCGTAGTAAATTGCATATTGACTTGAAACTAATGATGAAGTCATAACTAATTTTGTGGTACAACTAAATACAAGCTGATTCAAAAGCTTTTGCGCTATATAGTATAAATAGTTATATTCTTATTAAATTAAATAAAACTAAAGATTAATTAGATTTTGTTATATTTACATTTCTATTATAATTGCAGAGTTCTTGCGCTTCAGCGCTATAACGACCAATATATTTTTTGCTGATTCTTTGTAAAAATTGTCCACTGCTAGAATTTTACTAAAAATGATAACCATTGCATTATTTTTTTCTAAGTTTGTATGTACGTAACTGTTTCGACATCCCATCCTCCCTTGTGCACTACGCCACTGTGGCAGCCTTTGATCCACTCAGATATTTACACACTCTCTTCTCTTTTCTTCTCGATGCTTTTCATATTCAGTCTTTGGCCAGCCTTGTTGCTGTTTGGTTCGTCGCTCGGCTGCTGGAAAATTGTTTACAGAGGGCAATCTCTTCCCCTTTCTGGCACCATTGCGCCGTTTTGTTTATTTGAAATTCCAATTGGCTTGTGGCACATACAAATCTACACACACATTTGAATCATGCAAAACATGCGTCTGTGGAAAGTTAAACGGGTCTCGCTGGTGATCAGCGTTATCCTCTTGTTGTACGTCTTTGTTTTCTCCGCCGGCTATCACAAATATCAAATTGACGCCGTTATCGGCAACGCCGAACCGGAAGCCGTTTGGGAATATGTGGCTGACTTTAACAAAATGCGCCTGCTGAATCCCACGATGTAAGCACTCGAATGGGTCTCAAATAGCAACAATTGACTACATTTATTTAATTTTTATTTTATTTTAGCCTAAATTTTAAGATTCTTAATGATGAGGGGCACAGCCACGACTGGCGCTACACGGTGCGGTATACTGAGCGACTGTCGCACTGGCCACACTGGTTGAACGAGGCGACTGCCAAGTATGTGGTGACCAAGACACTGCCGGGTGTCCACCCATTAGTTTGGGCCGTCCAATCGACCCATGAGACGTGCTTCTTGGGCGGACTCTATTGCTGTAAGTACTTCTCTAATACATGCCACATGTGTGATCTATATTTGTGACACATTTCCCGGTTGTAGTGCGCTCGCTCAGCGAATTCAGCTTCAGCGCCCTCGGCACCGATACATTTGCCAATGAGAAGATCCAATATCAATGTCCGCCTCTCCTCGTCAGCGCCTGTCGTCGAGAGCTGGAGTTCCAGCGTCGCGCCGTCATGCACAATCTGACGCACATTTTTAAGAGAACCTAAACATGAATCTATAATTTGTCCACTTTAATATGTGTCATCGTATATCGTGTATGTATGAATTTTTACATTTAGACATTTAAATATTTTTAAAAAAAAATTGTAATTGATATTCAACAAAATAAGATAAACTTTTGCCAACAAAATGATTAAAATACACAAACTGCATATGTATGGAAACTAAATGGACAAGTCATGAATTACAGATTTGAGCTACTCACAATAGAAATATTGGCGCAATATTTTTTTGGGGCTTGCCTCTGTAATACATGTATACATTTTGTTATATCTATATAATTATATATATATTTGATTTTGTTTGGTTAACTTCTCATTGAGTTACTTAATGTATGGTTAGTTTTGGCAGTAAGAAACCCTTACGGCGATTTAACCCGGGGTAATTTACCTACTATAGCTAAAAATGTCTTGAAAACTTGAGTGAATTTTAATAGTCGATTCCATTTACTGGCGGCCGTAAACAAAGTTTAAAATTTTGACAAATTATCTAAACTTGACTCACTGCATAGTCTTTGAGTTTCTCGAGTCTTTTTTTGAATAGATTTCAACATTATTCCCGATCACTTGTAGAGATCTAGTCGCTTTCGTTTTCCAGCTCCTCCGCTGCGAGCGATGCGAGCGCAGCCCGATTTCTTGCCAGGCACCACAGGTGTGTTGGGCACACTTTGGGATTCCCCGGCTCCTCCTGCTGATGATGTTGCTGCACCAAACCATCGCGTCAGCTTCGTTGACTGTGTCGATTTGATGCTTTTGGGTGACTTTCGCAACCCTTGACTGCATTGAGTGCGCTGGCCAGCATCTTCCTGTGTACTGCTGGAGCCAATCAAATAGTTTGTGATTTTATTGCGCTGCGGCTGCAGCACCGGCGACACATGCCCCGTGGCGGTGAGACGCAGTCGACTGCCAAATTCACCATTATTGGTTATCTCAAAGATGTCATCGTCCAGCAAAGAGAAACGTCGTTGCGTTAACACCTGTTTGGGGCTGGACACATTTGGCAGCAATTGGACTCCCGATTCGTTGGCTTGAGTCCGATTCGTCTCAAAAATTTGCTCCAAGATGTCCAGGCAGGAGCGTTCACGTTTCTTTTTAGTCATCGTGCCTGGTTGTGCCTTCGAATGCTGCTGCTTCTGTTGTTGCTGCTGTTGCTTTACTTCCGATCCAAAGATCTTGAAGCCTTCGAAGGGCACTGGCTGTGCCAGCGTCAGCTGCGACAAATCGGAGCAGTTGCTGAATATGTCGGGCGATTTGTTGGCCATCGCGCGCTGCTGTGCCAGTAATTGCCCAAAACTGGAGATGCTCGGTTGTGGCTGCTCTTTGAGTGGGGTGGAACGTTTCCGCTTTAGTGCTCTAGTGCGCCGACTTTGTGACTGCTTAGCGGATTGATCCGAGCTCTCGTCAAGCGAACTGTGGATCACCACAACATCTGATTGCTGCTGATTGCCATTGGGCACGACGACCACCTCCGAGTCACTAAAGAAATTCAGTGTGAGTGGCGTCATTAGTGGCGTTGCCGGCGGCGCAAGTGGTACACGAAATTCTGGCAATTCCATTGAACCAAGCTCTGCAAGATTCTCGGGTAGTTTCTGGGCGCATTGCATATACGAATAGTCCGACAAGAAAGAGCCGGGACTAATTATTTCTGGCGTGGCAGCTGGCTGAATTATGGGAGACTTTGAATTAATTGGTAAGGACTTCGGATCCTTAGATATCGTTTTCTTCGACGGTCTTCCTCTTAATATGCGGGGTGCCACTGCCTTACTTTCGTTGCTGGCCAAAGACGTTGATCCGTTGCTTAATTTTGTTTTCTTTGGCGGCCGTCCCCTTGGCTTTTTGATTTTGGGTTCTGCTGTCGACTCCAGCTTTGCTGTCGGAGCTGCCTCCTCTTGCATAACTATTGGCTCCCTTCTGCGCTTGCTCGTTTTGGGCGTTTGATTTGAGTCTATGTTGCGTTTCCGTTTCGTTGAGCCTAATACCAAATGTGGTGTCATATATTTGCTGTTGTGTCGCGATTCCGCTGAACGCGTCATTCTTTGCATTCCACGTGTCACTCTTGGCGTCAACACAACTGAAGCACTTTTTTCCTGTGCGCGTTTTGATCTGGGCTCAGTCTTTGGCGTGATTGGCAACGTCTTCTGATGGTTGGGCGTTCGTGGCTCTGGCGATAACTGTTTCACATTTTGTGCGTTAGGCTCTGGCATCGGCTTAGCTTTGACAGGCGATTTAACTGGCAATGGAGTCGGTTGCTCACGTGGCGCAGGCGCAGGTTTTGTCAACTGGTTTGTGGGTATTTTCGAACTAATTGCTGCTAGTACATTTTTTTGCATTTTGGGTAAATGAAGACGATTTATTTTAACATTTAATTTTCTGGCGAATATCTTCGAGGGACTGCTTGGCTGTTCATCGTTCTCCGATTCGGTTAGCTCTGTTGGCTTCGCAGCGTTGACACGTTTGGTGTACTTTCGCTTGGTTTTGGCTATTGGTGACGTGCTTGCCTTTGGTGAGGACTGTGGCGGAGTGCTTGGCGTCGCAATTATTTCACAATCATCGCTGGATAGCACCACCACATCCGTGGTTGACACTTTGGCTTGCGTCGGCACGTTTACGTCTGCCTCCGCCTCTGAATCGGACATTTCGAAAATCAACGGCTCCATGGCTACCACTTCGTCACTGTGCTCGGATAGCGATATTTTCTCTGCATCCTGTTGTTGGCCCAATTCTCGTTCTCGTCTTATGCTCATCAGACACTCGAATATTTCACCAGTGCTGCCCGTGGAGCGTGCTTCCGATGGTGGGTCTACACTTGAGCCACTTATGGTAGAATTGCTTATATTTTCACCCATCCAAAGCGATACATTAATCTTGTATTGTTCCGGCGTGACTAGAGGTAAATATGACTCGAACTGGTGGCGATATCGACGCAGCCGGAAATCCCTGCAAACAAATATAAAATATGTTGTCAAATAGTTCATATACCAACAATACAATTTCATAAAATAATTTCCAAATGTGATGAAATTCAAATTGAAATGCAACATTACTGATAACTATTTTGGAAACTATTTCAACTCTCCAAACAATATTGTGTAATCGTTTGATTTACTGCTTAGGTTCACCAACTTGATGTATTCGCCAAGAACACCTCGCTGCTTGTAGTAATCCTCGAGATCAACACGCTTGTTAAGCACCTCCTTAACATCCGGCAGATTGAATTTCAGATTAAATATACGGAAGCTCTTGTGTTGATGTTCCAGGCATCCACCCAAGCGTAGCACATTATATAGTAACTTAACATCGGACTGGGGAACAAGCCAAAGAATATTAATATATAATTGCTTGTTGCAATTTCCTCTTCAACTCACCGTTAAGTCCACAGTAGAGATCACAATGTTAACTTTGCGCTCGTATTGCTGCAGTAGCATGGAAGTGCAGAAGTTGTTATTTAGCATGTAGCCCCGATGATCAACAATGACATAGTCAAACTTCAGCTTGCTGAGATCCCCAATGCTGCGCAACACGCTCCATTTGCTCAGATAAACGCTATGCGCCGACTCTGTGCTGTCTGCGAAATAAACTCAATTAAAAACTACACAAAATATGATGAAATTAGAATGAAACTGACCATTGACATCCTTTAGAATGCATACGGGCAGATCGGATAGAATGCCCAGGTGAAACTGCCAGCCAGCCAGCAACTGATCATCGTTCTGCAACACAATGAGCGTTTTCTTCGACGCACCCAGGCCATTTAAGAGTGTGACAATTGTCGCAGTTTTGCCCAAGCCACTCTCATCGTTAAATATGCAAAACTCTTGTTTGGACAGCCGCTCGTAGAGAAAACGCACAGCGTCCAGTTGAAAGCACTTCAAATACTGCGTCGCATGACTGGGAATGAGCACGTTCTCGGAGAGGCGCAGTTCCGCTGTCCGCTCGGAGATAAAATGATACATTTGCCTGCCTTAAATAATTATTTGTTCTTTCTCTCTTGCTATTAGCGGACGTGGTGCAGCGCCAAATAGATTGCCACGAGTATGTAGAGCAATTCCAGGTAGGAGAATATCACAAACATCGAAAACGATCCAATTATCATCCTCTTGGACGTCAGGGGTCCATCGATGTAATCAGGATAAAAAATATCCGGAAAGTTGTTGTTGTTATGATTTTTGTTGTAAACGGTATGCATGGGTAGATAAAATGCAGCAGGTAAACGTTCGGAAAAAGGCGCGTATTATGCGGTGCGTGCAAAGTGTGTGTGCCAAGGACGATTACTTATGATGCTGATTGCAACGTTCGCAATACAAATTTACGCCATTTCCAATGAGGTTAAGCGCTGATTTTAATCACTCAATATACATTTAAATCGTACTTAAAATCTGCAGAAATATAGTTCTCGTTCTTGCTTTGTGTCTATTTATTACGTTATACAGAACTGTATATGCAAGCCAGTGATGCGCAACTATCGCAACTAGACATGCAAATACATATCGATAGCTGCGACTGGTGACTGCTGTATATCGCCATTCACACAATATATTTGTGATCTACACTTGAAGGAGTTGAAGCGCTTAATAAACAATTATTTCTTGAGGATGTCCATGGCAAGGAGTGGCAAGCCAACCACAAAAAGAAAACATGACAATGATACCCCGATGGCAGCAACATTACCTTCGCCAGCCAAACAGAGAATGGTGGTGACCCCTTGGCGAGACACGTGCGAATCTATCCCCAATCTTCCCCAAGCGAATGTTGCCCAATTAATTAACTCCTTTTACAGCACAGAGTTCAGCACAGTTTACGATTGGTTGTTCTCGAAGCAGACGACAACTGCAAATCGTCGCAAGGCGCTCAGCCAAATGCGTATCTGGAGTCTGCGCCGCGGTAGCCTTTGTCCAGCTGCTGTGCTGGCCACTGGAGTGCTGATGAAGGCGCAACTGGAGGATAAACAGGGCAATCCCAACATAAGGACAACGTATGCTAGCTCATTTACGCGCTTCTTCAACTTCATGTCGTCGATCATGCAAAGCCATAACATGACCAGCATGTACAACACGGCCCGCCAACTGGGCCTGCAATCCTTTATTGTAGATTTGAGGCATCTGTGTGCTCACGGACAGGAGTTACCGCCGACGGCTGTTCTGCGCAACACGGCCGAACACTGTGTGGAATGGCTGCGTAACTTTTACTGGCTGCCACAAACTGAGACAATGAACAATTTGGATGCACCAAAGTTGCAGCGAAAAGATATGGCAAAATTTGAAAAGGAATTGGGCATCCTGTTTGAAATGTACGATTTGGCCTTGGAGTGCCAGCTGAAGGGGGCGCAAAAGCTGAAGGAAATCAAAAAACTGAGGACCAGTGCCGAGTTCAACAAGATGCGAGTTTATTGCTCTACAAAGAAACTGAAAACCACAAGCGAAATCCTTGATAAAGTGATTACCGAACTGGGTGCGGCTGTGAAGCGGCAAACATCATCAATGAAGGATCTGCTGGACATTTATATGGCTGGTGTTCTCCAAATGAACTATTTCCTTGGTGCTGGCCTCACGCACAGCGAACAGGAGGAGCTTGTCATTGAGGCTACCCAGGACCTATTTCGGCTGTTGGCCACGCAAGGTTACATCGAGAATGTGTTTGTGGCCTTCGTCCAATTGACTGAGAATCCAAATGTCGATGAGCAGAGGCGTCGCGGTGCAAGCTATTGGGCCACAAAAATGTTGCACACTTTTGGCATGCTGAGCCGCATGAAGCGCATGTACAAAGAGGAATTGGATATGGTATGCAGCAAAAATAGTCTTATTTTGCTTTGGGTATTTATAACATTTGACTTATTGTATTTAATTTTAGAACTCAAAAGTCAAGGCTGTGGATTTCTCGACCCTCAATAAACCAAAGATATCGAAGATCATGCGCAGTCTGCTCATCCACTCGGGCGTGGATACGACTCTCACATTAGTCTTTGGAGAGAGTACAAAAAAGCGACGATCTTTGGTATTTGAGCGTGAGTTTCTCATGAGCAGACTGGGTCCCCTTAACATCCACTCAGTTCCCATCCTGAAAGGGTAAAGTTCCCAATCGATTATGCTAAAATGTCTTTCGTTATAATCTCGTTTTTGTCTATTTTCTTTAGTTTGCTGCCACTTGTGGATCCACCATTAACAGACGAACAACTTGAGGACGTGACCAAGTTAAGTAATATTAAAATGAAAACTATGAATGGGGCTACGAATATAATTTCTGATAATAAGTCAATGGATATAACTGAAAGCGAATTCGAGAATTCAGAGTTTGGCCTCTGGAAACTGGATAAAGGTAAGATTAGGCATTTCGTGCAGTTATTTAATAACTTTTCTAAACTGCATCTATTGTAGACAATAATTGGTCAAAATGTGCGCTTGGAGTGCTGCCTACAAAATGAAGTTAAGCAAAGTTTAAAAATTGGGAAATAAATGAATCCTATAAATTAGGTATCTATAATTAATAAGCACACTGTTAAATGTACACTCATGCAAACAATGTAATTATATATTTGTAATAAATAAGATGGAATTAAGTATTTAATTTTCAATTCGCTAAGGCTGAGTTAAAAATGCATTTAAAACAAACAATTGCGCGCCTCTCTTCTTCATTAATGTTCATCATTCCAAGCATAATTTATGCTGTCGTTTGACAACACTGCCACTATTTATGTCTTCAAATTTTTGTTTAATGTGCAAGATTATTTAATAAACATGGACTTACAACGTAGCGATGCAATGCTAATGGAAATATTGCAGGAGCAGAAAACAATCACTGGATTCTTAGATAGAGTGTTCGGGTTCTTGAGACGCAAGTAAGAAACGTTTTTAAATACGGCTTGATAGCATAAAATTAAGATTTCTTTGCAGCACAGATTTTTACCATACCAAAAGGGATGCAGCAGACATAATTGGGTTTCCCAAAGGAATGCGAGATCAGATACTGTACGGCGCAATGCTGCGCTATGACCCGGAGTGTTGGTTGCAAACCATGACCGCAGAGAGCGGAATCAGTGGCAGTGGCGAAGATGCGCCGCCGGCGATTCAAGAAATCTCCGTACAAACTGAAGAAAACAGATCTTCGACAAAGTCAAGTAAGGCTATCAAAATTCCCGGTTTCGAGCCTGTTGACTTTAAGAACGGCGCAGCATTTGAACATCATTGCTGGTCTCAAACATTAAGCGATTTGGAGATCCATGTCCAACTGCCAAGGGAAATAAAAACCTATAAACAACTGTGCATTGATATTAAAGCACAGCAAATCAAGGTGAGCAGCAGAGCATCACCAGAGCATGTAATCTTAGAGGGATTGCTGAGTCAGCGTATAAAACACACCGATGCCCTGTGGTCAATTGAGGATGGGAGGCTGCTAATCAGCTGCGGTAAGCATTTGAAAACAATAATAACTATTTAAGCTACATTTTTTTCTGTATAGACAAAGCCAAGGAGCGTTGGTGGGAGCGACTCTTCGATGGAGACGATGACATCGACATAAAGAAACTCGACTGTGAACGCTATATAGACGAACTACCACAGGATTCGCAACTGGCCATTGAGAAGCTTCGGGTGCAACAAATGACAGCGGATCAGCAACAGAGCAGTTTACAGGCCACAGATCCCGAGCAGGCAAAGACCTTGGAACGCTTACGCATAGCGTGGGATGCCGAAGGATCGCCATTCAAAGGCCAACCATTCGATCCGTCCGTGGTGCGAATGAGTTAGTCATTTATTCAATACATATATAAAACTGATGAGAAAATACAAAATGTGTGTTATTAAAATTAAATTCATAGCTTTGAGAGTGTTAGTGCTAGTGCTAGTGCTATGGCATGGACATCTACAGTTGTCCTCACTGAGTCTTCAGCTCTTGTTTCTTGCGCTGCAGCTGCCTCTGCTGGTAAGCGCAATCCGTCCGATCGGTGGACCAAGCCACATACATATATGTTGTGAGCAGTACGGCGAGCAGCAGCCGATCGAAGCTCATCACATTGGTCACAAACAGAATCAAAGTGAAGCCAACGAACGATGGATGACGAACATGTGCGTAAAGATTGCGCAACTCCAGCGATTTCTTGGCAATCGGTTCCGAGTAGTTGAGCATATCGTAGTAGGCCTGCTTGATGCCCACCAATTCACCCAAATCCATTATAAAACAGCCGCCGTAGATGATAGTCCAGCATAATATGTGGGTCATGACAAAAGTCCACCAGAGCGGTGCGCTCTCATCCACGTTTATCTGCCAGAGCACAATCGACTGAGCGGGCAGCCAGTTTTGCAGTAAATACTAAGCAAATAATGTAAATTTATACAGCATAAAACACAAATCAAGGCTATTTGTTGCTTACATGTAAACAAAGCGATGACGTCAGAGTATAAATAGTTCGCTCTGCAGCAACCAAGTGCAATTTGCAGATGAGATTTTTCACCAATGCTGACTTGAAGAAGCTGTGCTGCAGAATGAAGCCAATCACATACAAAGTGTCCAACACAATTGGCCCATAGGCGGTTTCCAGGCGCGATTTGTTGTCCAGCAGATTAAAGATCCAGGTGTGCGCTCTTGAAATGGATCGCGGCTGGGAGAGAAACAGCGTCAGCTTGCTGACCACATAAAAGGTATAGCTGAATGTGGCTATTGAGGTCAGCAGCACAATAATTTTCCCGAGAGACGGCATAATATTTGCTTCTCAATTCACTTTTTAAAAAATGTACAACTGAAGTAAACAAACTAAATGCGACTAGCAACAATTTTGTAGTGTTGGTAAATCGACACTGCATTTGTAATTTATGGTCTCCCTAGAACTGCAAACAGCTGAGTGTACGTGTGCGCGTCTCGTAGTGATTAGCAAGTTTGGCTTTGAAACTGACGTCAACAATTACTTATTAATATTTTTATTATTTAGGTAATTGTGAAATATGTTTACACTCTGGACACTAATTGAGGCCTCACTGCTCTGCCTCAATGCAGTGTGCATATTGCACGAGGAACGCTTCTTGGCAAAGTGTAAGTTTGACAATGCAAAAGCTCCATACCAACCTAAACTGACACGATTCATTTTTAGTTGGCTGGGGAAGACAAGCCGGTCAGCAGGATTTTGGGGCGCCAAGCGCCAAGGATCAGGTCTTAAATCTCATTCGCTCTATTCGCACCGTGGCCAAGAGTGAGTAGAGTAGTAGTGCAAGAATGCAATACAATACAGAAATAACTAACACGTGTCCCATGTTTTCCCATTTTGCAGTTCCGCTGATATTTCTTAATATTATAGCGATTATATTTAAACTGTTACTTGGATAGTGCTTAAAATCTAATTTTAATAAATGTACTAGTAATGCTCGTTCCAATGAGTTGCAATTATTATTAGCCCACTGTCTGCTGAGTCGATTTGCGCTGCAGCACACACTTGACCCGGTTCTCCAACGCAATGCTGTACGCATCCAGCTTGTAGGCAGCCGCTTCCAGTTTGTCCACCGTATCCGAAATATCGTCGATTTGCTGCATGAGCGGCGCCAACTGTTGGAATTTGCCGCACAGCTCATTGGTGGATACGTTTAGGTTTTCAGCAATTTGCCGCATATCCTTGTACTTGGCAATAGTTGCCTTGTTCATCTCCTCGAGCAGCTTGTAATCCTCCAGTGGCGCATTGAGCTCTTGTGTTATGTATTCCTCTGTTTTCTGGAACATCTTTGTGGCCAGCTTGCTTAGATTGGGATCGTGGGCGTGTGCCAGAGCCTCGAAACTAGATGTTGATGTCGACAGTGTTGGGCCACGCATCGGTGAGTCCAGCATCGGATTGTGCTCCTGATCCCGGGCTTGAGCAGCGCTAGCGCTTGTTGTTGGCTGCTCTTCCATTTTATGTGACGACTTTTCCCAAAACAATTTTGCGACAACAAAATTAGAACAGCTGTTGTCGCCGGCTTTCTGTGAATGGTTTGTGTTGTGAATGGCTAATGCAAGTTTACTATTGTGAATGGATAAAGTATTTGGCGCAAAGCTAGTTGATTTCCTGATTTAGAATTAGATTATATGGTTTGGTTTGTTTCAAAGATAACACGTTTAAATGTCGCAGAAGAATGAAGAGCTGAAGCTCAAGCACCTTTTTGATGGCGGCGCTTGGAATGTATACGAGCCGGATATTTTAAATCTAGGCGTCGGTGCTCCAGGCACAGATTTATTGGAGCCATGCTGTGATATTTTCCAGCAGGCAACTGCGCATAAAATGGTGTGTTCTTATCAGCTACTATCTTAGAATGATGATGACCTTTCTTTTGTAACTAGAAAGATGAAAAGCAAAACAAGTCGCTACTTTTTCAATACGGGCCAACAAGTGGTTGTTATGAAGTACGCAATGAAATCGCCAAGTATTTCAGCAAAATGTACAACAATCCCGTCAGCAGGTGAGGATTTAAATGATTTATATCGATTTGCGTAAATAATGCATCTGTTTACTTTCAGTGAGGACTTGATAATCACAACTGGCGCCACGCAAGGATTGCATTTCGTGCTCTCTACTCTGATCGACTTTAATGGCTACATATTTGTTGATGAGTTCACATATATGATTGCTTTGGACAGCATGAAACATTTTACAAGCCTTCAAATTGTTCCCCTTAAACTAAACGAAGATGGTGTTGATCTCAACGATCTTGAGGTGAAGGTAAGCGAACGGCAATTCAAATCGGAGAGCAAGGAATTTTGGGCCATTTACTATACGATACCCACATACCATAATCCAACTGGCATATTGTTCTCTCCAAGTGAGCATAATACAAGCGCTGACCCTATACAAATCTTTAATCCGTTCCTCTTGCAGCTGTTTGTCGTGGAATTGTGCAGTTGGCACGCAAATTCGACTTTTTAGTGCTGTGCGACGATGTCTATAACATTCTGCACTATGGTGAAAAGCCTTTACTTTCGCGTCTTTTCGCCTATGATGAACAAACGGATGCGGATTACGTTGGCAATGTCATATCCAATGGCAGCTTTTCCAAGATTATTGGACCTGGGGTGCGCTTAGGCTGGCTGGAGGTTCCCCCACGCATCAAACCGCAGCTTGATCGCAGTGGCATTATTAACAGCGGTGGTTGCTTCAACAACTATACATCCGGAATTTTGGGCAGTCTATTTGAGTTGCAGTTGGCGCAACCGCATATTGAACGGCTCCACACCGCATACCAGGAGCGAATGTTGGCCACCACAGCAGTACTTGAGACTGATTTGCCTGAAAGCTGTCACTTCTTGACGCCTACTGGCGGTTACTTTATTTGGATACGTTTGCCAGATCAGCTGGATGCGCGAGATTTTCTGGCATACAGCTTACAGCATGAGAAGATTTCGTTCATTGCCGGGACACGTTTTGCAGTAGAAGAAGGCAAAGGTAAGCAATTCTTCCGTTTATCTATAGCCTTCCACGACAAGGCAAAATTAGCGGATGGCACCAGGCGCCTGTGTCTGGCCCTAAGGACTTTTATGAAGAAATGAGTGTTATTATATTTTGATTTTATGATATGGCCAAATGGTTTTTATTGTTTGTTGTTCTTTGTTATCGTATTTTAAATAATGCTTATAAATATACGACTTAGTACTTAATCTATTGTTTAAATTACGAACATAGTATTAAATATATGTATCTTAATATTTTTTTTTTTTTTTTGGGCACAATGCATAAAAATATCACAATTTTGATAAAAATTATACAAATATTCAAGATTAACTTTATAAAACAGTAGTTTACACATGCAACCCCTTGTATTGACCCCCCATTGTTGTTTAGCTTATTTGTCATGTGTTCTGAGAATGTTTACCGATTTTGTATTGCATATTTTGTGCATAATACTTTGTTTGTACAACAATTAAAATGCGTGGCAAAAAGGAAAGAAAAAAAAAAACAATTGTAAAAAAATAACAAATTACTCTGTAAATGTGAGGACAATTTCCTTGAGGGAGGTATACGTGCCAATTACCAGGCCGAGAATGCCAACAATAATCAGCACAAAGTTGCCTGTAAATTAAAGGTTTTTAAATACTATCACATAAATATATGTCAATTTGAATACTCACTCAAAAGCAGCCAGCCCTTGCTGATACCAGTGGTCTGGTACCAATGTGTGCAGATCTGAATCAGAGCTGGAAAAGCCAGTCCCAGAGCCGATAAGCACAGAGCGCCAAAGAGCGAAATGAATAGCTCCAGATTGGGTATAGCCACGGCCAGAAGAACTGCGAAGACACGTCAGAAATTAAGATATGTTTGAATCGACCCAAGTTATAGGTACTTACAAGTGATCAGCACAAGACCCGTGCGTACCGCATACTCCCAGAATAGTTTATTGCGCTGCGGGCCCAGTTTCTTGCCCACATAATCATTCCAGGTGATGTCAATAGCCACATAGCAGGCCAAGCCGTGTGTGATGTAGATGGCAAACGCTAGCATGCCCTTGACGCACTGAGCCGGACTTTAATAGGTATGAAAACAGTTTTTAGTTTCATTCAACACTGATAGCAGCAATTAACTTACATTTCATGTTCCGGCAGATTTAAGGTGATGGAGCCCAGCACGCCGGCACCATAGTTGAGATATCCAAATAAGCCCATGCCCACATACAGGAATACAATCATTATCATAGACACGTTCAGAACACCACAGGAACCGCCAAATTTGTGTGGATTTTTCATCTCATTCTCTAGCGGTAAAATGACACCAATGGCCTCCAGTGCGAATAGAACAGTTCCAAAGAACAGCGGAAAATTCTCCAACTTGCCAATGGCATCCCTGCCCTCAGTTGAAACGGGGTCACGGAATATATAGTAGCAGATAATCGCAAAGGATATCATAGTAATGAAATTGGCCAGCGTGGAGAATGGTGCCAGGTACTTGAGCTGTCGCACCCAGTTAATAAGTATCAACGGTATCAAAATGATGATCATGCACAGACGCACATCTACATTCGTCTCATAGACGGCATCCACAATGGACTTGATGTTAGACGCAACAAAGACAACATAGACACAGCAGGTGCCCAGCTGGTAGATCAGCAGAAATACATTCACTACGGTACCAATGTATGGGGCACATGCCTTAAAGAATGAGGGACCTTCGCTGAGCGCATTCTCCGCCACAGCTGGGTAGTTCATACTGGGCATCTAAAAAAAGATTACAGTTAATTACAGATAAGATTAAAGCTGCCAGCGAACTAACCTTCTTGCGCCGGCACAGCTCAAGCTCGGCCTTAACGAGCTGATGTATGCAGTAAGTGCATATAAAACCGATCATAATGGTGCCTATGGAACCCGTTACGTAACCGGAATTCCGGAAGGCATTTGGCATGGCCAAAATACCTGTGCCCAGAGAGCCCTTCAGCAGATGAAATAATGTTTCCCAATTGCTATTGATGGTATAAAGATTTGAATATTTATTCGCTTATGGTTGCGTGGTTGCACTTACGTTGTTGGATGCGGCACCTCGCGATGCTCGTAGGGATTGTAGTCGGGATTTTTGGACGACTTGATGTTGTTGTTGCCACCCTTCTCAGCGAGCTCCAGCGAGTATTGGTTGCTACTCGGCTGCTTAATGTTGTCCACATGATCGCTGACAAACGCCGTATTGCTGTGTCCATTTTTACTCATGGCTGCCAAACACAGAGAGAGAGAGAGAGAGACCAAAGAGATGCTTTGAGAAAACGGAGGATTCCAGCGAAATTTCACTTATAATTTGTGATATAAATCAAAGGCGAGTCTCTCCACACAAAATTGACACTACCTATAAAGATCGCGAACTATCTAACCGCAACAAATGCAGCTGAAAATAGCTTGACATATTTTTAAATTAAAAGCAGGCCCAGCACAATGTCAAGTTCAGTGGGAGGAAATCGTTGCGCCGGCAGATGAGCCACATGATTGCACACACGGTATTTCGACTGCTATATGTTTGTAATGTGTGTGTGTGTGTGACAGTGTGATCCTATGTGTGTGTGACAGTGTGTGCCTATTTATGTGTGTGTGTGTGTGTGTTTAACATCGCCAACAACTTGTCGTGCATGAAACGTGCTAACATTTTGTAATTGCAGCCAATTTTACCGTCAATTGTGACTGGCTTTGGATTGGACGTTATTTGTGTGAGTTTCATATAGTTATTTAGCTGTTACCGTTACCCCCTTTATTAGACATAAACAATTGCTTATTCAGAGACAAGCAACAGATGCCTGTGTCTTAATTAGAAAATATTTGACATTTTATTGTCCAGCTAATAGGTACTAAATAATAGCTAACCTAAGCCACCAAATCTCTGATTCCCAAAAGCGAGAAATGGATATTTTGTCAAATCAAAGCATACGTCACCGTTGCTGTTTTTGTGAAATATTTTCCGGTTTTTGAGCGCCGTGCTCAATTAGTATATTTAATTGTACAAGTTGACTTTTTGACTTCCACATACATAATATATAGAACCGGGTAAATGCATGTTGAATGTAAAGTATTCAAAGCATTTTTACTTCCCCTCACTTAAATAGCAACATAATAAACAATGGCACACTCATATATATATATATATATATGTATATATTTATATATGTAGATGTGGCCTAAACTCAGGTTGAAGGCCAGTCGAACCTAATTCAACGATGCGTAGAATTTTGATTTAATTCAATAACCATTTCTTGTAAGTCCAGTTTTCTCACACCCACATTGGCGAACTAACTGAAAGTGATGCATGCATAATTTCAAGAACAGCTGGTTTTTTAAAGATAAGTATCTATATATCTAGCGAATACCAGCTTCGATGTACGGAAGTCACTTAAAAAATATAGCCAAATGACTTTGCTGAATGAAAAACAAAACAAAATTACGATTGCAGCCACAATAATAACAAAACAAGCTTAATGTCTAGTATATGTTGATAATATTGCGTCTGTAACTAATTAGTAATTTTGAACTTACAGCTGTACTTGCAGTCTACTAAATTCTATGGAAAAATTGTCAAATATACGCAATCTTTTAAGAGCTTTCTAATTTGCATATTCTTCAGTGGATGACTATGCAAAATAGTATAGCATAAAAGTTGTTTATTAGTTTTGACTTTTTCCTCTTCAAATTTCACATCAATTATAGTGGAATAAATTATCTGAAATATTTCTCCTAATTAAATGAAATACGTCAATTTTGAAAAAAAATCCCTTGAAATGTTTTGTTTAGTTGACGTATTAATCTAATTTTTAATTTGCATTTTTTAATTCAAATTACCATAAATATTTCAGATGTTTTATGCGAAACTTAAATAAAATATAGCAAAATTGAAATAAAAAAACGTCGATTGTTTAATTAATGAACTGTAACCGGTTCAAACCAGATGAGCTGTTGTTACTATTAGGCCAAAAAGAGAGGCAAGTTAAACTTGTCTGGCTGTCAAAGACATTATAACGTTTAATATATTCCATTTGACAAAATACAAATCAAAAATGATATTGTTCAAATGCGCAATGTTATTTAATGCAAATTGTATTTTGCGTCATAAATTTAAAAAAACAAATATAAAAAAAAACATTTCCATGAATGGCTGCTGCGCACGTGAATCAAAATAATTGAAAACGAAATAAAAACGATATGAAAAGTGTAAAATGTGATCAGCACGCGATCATTGGCTTTGATTTTTGTTAGAATCTCTTCTGTGGATCAGTGAAGACGGGGACGAGTTCAATGCGCCGGGTTTACTGTCCGGCCTTAGCGGTGCTTCAGGTGTTATTATTTGTGATTGAAATTCCAAAGTCATTTGCCAGCGTCGTGTTTGCAATATCAATTGGTAATGTTGATGACTGCTTTGCGTCATCAATAGCAGTTACTGAGCTTGAAAAAGTTGTTAGCCTTGCTCTGAATTTTGTCGAGGACATTTATTTAAATTTGCTTAACTTTGCATAACAAAAAAAATATTTTTGTTCTGATCATTTTTCAGTTACACTTAATGGCTTAATTTAATAAATGACTGGGTTCAGTTCTGTACATTTAATATTTTGTTTTACAATGTTATTACCAAGTTGTTAGTAAATAACTGCAGCGCATGCCACGTAACTGTCCACAGCAACTGCACGCTTTAATTCACAGCTGCCAGTTTAACGAATAGATGTATTAAAAATTTGAATTTAATGCTAATTTGTAACACCAATGGCTAAAATAAATATCTGACTGCAACGGACAAACTTCGTGATTCTCTTAACTAACTAATACAGTAAGCACTTGTAGTCAGTAACATTTCAACTTGATTATGTAAAAAATAATTTAAAATAAATGTAAAGGTAATCATTTTAAATGTATTTTGGAAGGCTTTGGCGATTGAGTCTTTATATCTGTGCATGTTTGTGTGTGAGAACTATATCAATTACTTTTATTTGTCATTTATTCTCCTTTACGCTCATCTGATGCTCATTTTCCGATTTAAAACAATTGAACTCGACTGTAATTACTAACTGTTCTATTTTTGTTCGGTTGATCAATAATTTGCGTCAACATTAGAGCGCTAATTTTAAATGCAATTAATTTAAATTTAGATTTTCAGCTAGTTTCATTCACTCACACATCTCTCTTAATCACAGTCCGGACTGCGAATAGGCACTCAAGCTAGACTCTGAGTTTTTAGTAATTCGCAAATGCTTTCTCACTTCCGTTGTTCATTAGGCAAAATTCTTGTCGAGATCAGCGCTGAGTTACTATCTACATATTTAACTTACCGATTGGCCTAAGAACAGATTGTTATTTAACCAAGTTAAAACAGAATTGGGAAGCCCACTTTATTTTATCACAATTGAAGCTGGTCGTTACGGTTGAGTAATAAAAATAATTGGAATTTTCCACAAACAGCATAGGGTTTTATGTTTTTTAAATATTTTTTTTTATTTTTTCCCCTGATATTTAGGATAAAAGTATTGATAAACAGACGAAAAGTCGCCTTGACGCGTCAGGTGTCAGATTGAATCTAACGACTGCGATCAATGATTCAAAATGAGCGATGTGATCGTGTTGCCCGCGCGCTAACGACTAAATCAGACCCAACGTGGGTCACCGGTTTTATGCAGTGTGCGAAATGTTGTCCGGCGATTGTAATGACAGCAGCAGGCAAACAACCACTCATGAAGACTCGTTCTCTCAGGGTACGACGGGGTGGCAGCAGCAGCAGCAGCAGCAGCGACACCAGCATCAGCCGTCGCAAAAAAAATCATAGCCAGACAACATGTAACTTAATTTTTAAGTAACGTCAATCCCCGAATCCGATTCCGCCGTAAATGCGTTCCCAAATTATAAGCTAGAGAAAAGATCGTAGATATGAGGGAGAGATATCAAACAGCAAAAGAATCTGAATCTGCGTAAACGAGATGAGATATGAAATGATGTGATATGTATAACTTTTAACTACTCTGCTGATCGCGTGAGCTACAAGTTACGTATGGAGTCTAAAGCTCAAAGCATACGCTGAAAGCTCTTTCAGATAGTCATTTGCATTGGCTTCTTTTATGTATGAACGTTTAATGACCTTAAGTAACATGTTAGTAGCTTGTAGACTTAGATTTTTTTTTCCCCATATTCTTGTTGTTTATATAATTGAATGTGTGTATCAGATGGTTTGTGGTACGAACTTCAGTTTCCCTTATACGCATTTTGTTTTTATATAAGCACTTTAGCTTTTTAATTAAATACACATTCGATACGCATTCTTAGCTGCCACATTATCGATAGCATGTCAAATAAACAGCCACGATCAGCGTAAACAAGATGCGCGTTGTCTTAAGCTGAACCGACAATGAAACTCACTCACTTTCTGAACGCTTTCCAGTCTTGGCATGCCAAGCACAAAAAGTCGTTGCCAAATATTCGACAGCTGCTGCAAGTGCTCGTAACTATGGCAAGACTACATAAAGAACCAGTACAAGTTGAGGTGTAAGGTGCATTTAACTGCTACTGTGTGTAACTAAATTTTCAGTTCGCTCACTGGTTGCCAAAATGTGCAATTTACATTTTTTTAATTTTTTTGCTGCTGGGACTGCAGTGCCTTAATGCACTTTCTCAGGCAAGCAACCGGTTTGGGGTAAAGAGAATTCGCGGGCTTGTGTGAAATTTCATTTACAGCTGCGGCCTTCCAATCATTTTGCATGCAATGCGCATACGACGTGTGTTACAGTTTCGTATATGTCGAACATACAACATACTACAATATGAGTATGGCCAAAAGCCGGCTAAAAACATTTGCCCATGCCCATGTCTGGCTGCTGTTCGCCTGCCCGCCAGCCAAAAAACCGGTCAGCCGCTGCTGCTAGTCTGACGCAGTCTTGTCTAGCCCAATATATTCGTCTTGGTCATGTTTGGCCTGTGACGTCAGCGTTGAGTGATAGTAGTGAATCATGTAAACATGATTCGAGTATGCAGATCAATTAAATGTAACTGCTTACCATTGCTGCCTACGCAATTCACACATTATTATTGTTATTTATTTGATATCTTTTTTTTATGCTTTCCATGACGATTATCGTGCTTATCCATTGCAATGGCTTTGTCGCTAAACATCAGGTGCTAAGAGCTGCCAAAATTGGTGCTAATTTTGGAGCTGTTGGGATTTCCTTTATGGCTTTATACACCAATCAAAGCTCGCGAAACCTGCTCTCGGACAAGTCATAATATTATCAATTTGATTTGTGTTGTTTACTGAACTAAGTTGCATAATTAAAACAGGATTTGTGTATTAACTTTGTGTGTAAAATACTTTTAAATGTGTTCAAGAGTTTTTGCCACAATTAATGCCCTATGCACAACATCTATTTAAACATCTCTCAACCAGCTGTGGCCACTTATGGCGGAAAAAAACCTTTTAGCTCAAAGCCAAATAGATCAATTATTGACTTCACTAAAACATGCGCTAATTAAATGCCAGCTAATTTAATTATATGAATGTAAATTGCATTTGATAATTACATGCGAAAAGCTTATATAAAACATGCAAAACTCTAAAAATATTACTATTGTAGCTGATGATGCTAGGCATAAATATAGAAATAAATATTGTACAAAAAAAATAATGTAAAAAAAAAACACTTCTATTACAATAGATTAAGCGATACATCATTTAAAATTGCTTTCGCCATGAACTTGGGCGAACAGCTACAGTTCCATTACAATAAGCACGTGTTATTAACTTGGGTCACTAACTAGAACCGATTCAGTCCGACTGAGCGGTCAAACTAAAGCTAAATATGTATATTTGTTTGTGTATATATGATTAGTGTGTTTTATGATATTAAAGAGTGTAACTCACACGTGTTGTTTTGTTGTAGATGAAATATACCTTTCTATTATTTTGATATTGAAATCTTGCTGTTAGTAACCCATTGATAAACCGCCATATGCAAGTGGATTTGTGTGGAATTGAATAATTGAATGATTACCTTGTTATTGTCAATTTGTGTTTGAGTACACACATCTCAACTATTTTACATATTATATATTTAACAGAAATTTAGCGTGCAACTAAAAAATAAAAAATAAAAAAATTGCGCATAACGCTATACGTTCTACTGTAAATATGTAAATCTGGGTGATTCTGATTTATTTGCTGCTCCCGCTCTAAAATCACAATTAAAGGAAATGAGAATTGAGAGCAGCGTAGTTTTAAAGTGTTGCTTTAATCCAATATATGAATTCCATGGCAGTTTATTATTGCCTGTGCATCAGCTAAAGGTTGTCGTGTCATATTAAGGACATTCTACAATTTGTGGGGTAAGTGCTTAGAATTTATATTCAAAAAGGAAACAGCTTCTTCTTATTCTTTATGAACTTGAATAGGATCAGATCATTTGATTTACATCCGTCGCTTTACGTGCTTTGACTATTCGTTGTCGACTCAACGATTGCAATTTGTAAATCAGTTAGCTTAATCTTTGCAGCCGCAAAAACAACTAATCTGAGTGAATTGTTCTATTTGCTTATTTGTGTGTGTCTTCTAGTTTCGCTTAACACTAAAAAGATAAGCAGTTGAAACAGTGGCAGTAGAGGCATTGGTTAATCACTGCGTGTTGGCCAGCACACACTTGTCTCCATTTAATCAGCTCAATAGCTGAAAAATTGTCGTATTTTCTGAGTCTTTTCGCACGTTTCGCTGTTTGCGTCTCGAATATGCGCTGAAACAATTACAATGAAAGAAATACATAAAAATAAAAATAAAAAACAAAAACAACAAAATTGTGCTAAACTAGACAAGTATTGCCATATAGCTGGCAAATGTGTATTCAATGTTAATGTTAAGTCGCAATCATTGCCACGCATTTTACGTGTATTTCATTTGATCTCAGTCTCAAAACAAAATTCGAATATCTGGCACGGCAGCCTGCATGAGTACATATAAGTCACTCGAAAAGCGAGCCAGTTTTGAGTGGGTTTTGAATGGAGTGCATTGTTGAGTATGTTGATACATTACCTGAGTATTTAAAACGAAGTGTATTGTAAGATTTGTGCTTTATTTCTATGCACACCAATCGCTTTTTGAACGACAAACAGTCGTCGGCTCGCGCTCCATGTGCCGTATACTTAATTTAATTGCTTTACGAATTTAAAGTGGAAACAAACCGTAATTAATAATGACGATGGCCGTGATTAGTGGAGCAGCCACTGATTCAAATAATGGAGCTGTAAGTTCTTAAAATGCTTTCATATCCCTCCAATAAGTGATACAAAATAACTTTATCAGCTGCCATTAAGAAGTGTCTGATTGTGCATGACATATTTATGAATTGGTAATCATATATCAACGCTGATTGTGAGCTACTCGAATTGAACTCTTTTGTGCCCCCTACATACACATGATTAAATTAACATTAGCCACACGAATTTAATCGCATAATATGATATTGGCCAGATTGTGAGTTCTTCAAAATGTATTTCAACTGATGACATCTATCGCAGAGCGTGTTTGTCACTTGTCACTTGTTCGCGTCTAAGCCGTTAGTTAAATAATAGTAGACGACTTGAACGATATTGTGCTTTACGACTCTTATCTATTCGCAATATTTGGTTTGCCTAATGAATGCTTATATGATGCCCAGAAGTGGCAGCAGCCCAATAGTTTACTTTTGTCTGGTTCTAATTGCCTTATTCAACGGATTGAAAGGGATTGTCCAAATGACTCACATAAAATTAGAACAGAAAGGAATTGGTAATTTGATTTTAACAACAATGGTGAAAACGCACTGGAGTTTGTGATTGTTAACTTTTGTGGGTTAATTAAATAACAACACAGTAAACTATTGTCGACTGCATGAAAGTTGTCGAAACACAATCTATTGTTTGTTTCTCATAAACTTGACCCGCTGGCAGGCAATAGTTAGCGAGCATTGCATTTACTTCCGCTAATAACTTGTTTTGGCTTTGCATTACGCTCTTCCAAGAATGTTTCAATATCTTTCAATCAGTAGTATCCAATAAAATGTCAGCAACTTACATACTAAAATTCTGATTCGTTTTCTATTGTCCCAACAAAGATTATATAGATGTTCGATCCGACTTAAAACTTGATTTAAAATCACCTCATTGACATTTCAATGCCATGAATCACACAGATATTTGTAGAATTCTATTTAAAATTGGATAGCTGATAATAGACACTATGGGCTAATCAGTTTGGGATATACATTGATTTTTAATTAAACGAATATGTGGTGCACAATTAGTACTTTTTCTTTCGACTGGCCCGACGAGTCTTCCTGCCAGCTAGGTACCGGCTCTTGTGATCTATAGTGTTGGCTTCGTTATCAGCAGTACAAACATGCATAGAGTTCAGTGTATAAGCGCAAAGATTGCGAAATTCCTTAATTAATGACAAAACGAATGAACTAAACTCGTCATTGAAGTGCGATGATGGTCAATGGTCTTTGATCAACCAACATTACTTTGCGAGTGAAAGTGTCGTGTAGAAATCAGTTCTCCTACGGGTTTTGAACTCAACGCATTGTTGAGGTGTTTAATAAATTCTTATAAAATATAAGTCAACTGTT